ATAGGAGAGATTTCAAAACTGTGTCTGGGCACCATGGAGCTTTTAGGTTCTACTCTAATGGCCACTTATGCCCACCCTAAATCAACACCAACCAGCTTTCTACCAGCCATTGGTACCATGACATCAAGCTATCGGGACCGCTTTCCCCATTACAACCTGATGCACAGTTTGAGCCTTCCATGGAGACCAAACACATGCTACAAAGCAGCCTCCAACTACCCCACCTTGGACCCATACTGTACAAGATCTCAGAGGATGTGTGAGAGTACCATGCTTCCCTTTGTATCCAACAGAACCACCCTCTTCACAAGGTATACGCCTGATGATTGGTACCGGTCCAATTTAACCAGTTACCTGGAGTCTAATACCTCACGGCATAATTCAGAGAGACTCCGAATGGACACTTCTCGCCTCATTCAAGACAAATACCAACAAATCCGGAAGACCCAGGCAGACTCCACCCAAAATTTGGGAGAACGCATCAATGACATAGGGTTCTGGAAATCTGAAATCACTCATGAGTTGGATGAAATGATCGGAGAGACAAACGCACTTACTGATCTTAAGAAAAGGTTAGAGAGGGCTTTGATAGAGACTGAAGCCCCTCTGCAGGTGAGGATGGATGCTGGGGGCAAAAGGCACTGCATTTTAAGATTGTAGGTTATTATGTACCAGATTGTGCTTTATTTTATGTACAGAATCATCCCTCATCAGCACAGTTGTAAATGGGTTCAGTAATGACTAAACCTTTGACATGTTATGCATTAGACATAAGAGTGACTCTAAGAGCGAATTCTGAATACAAAGAAAGGAACACTATTATACCAACTTCGTTCTGACAAAAGGCTAGCTTGATCACTGCCGTCTTCACATTAAAATACAGATTTAAGAAAAGATTTATTTATTTAAGAAAATTTTAATTTTCCTGGAGCTTGTGAGACAGCTCAGTCAGTAACGTGTTTGCTTTGCAAGCATGAGGACCTGAGTTTGATCTCCAGAATGCATGTGAAAAGCATGGTGGTGTGTGTTTGCCATCCCAGCATAGGGGAAGCAGAGGCTGATGATTCCTGGGCTCACTCACTGGCCAGCCAATCTAGCCTAATCAGTCAGCTTCGGGCCAGTGATGTTCTCTGTTTCAAACAAGGTAGATGACATCTAAAGAGGAATGACACCGAAGGTTGTCCTCTGGCCTCTACATGCACATGTACACACACAGACATGTGTGATAGCACATATATGTCCACCTGCATATTTACACAAACACGTAATTTAGGGACTGGAAAGATGGCTCAGCAGTTAAGAGCACTGACTGCTCTTGCAGAGGACCCAGGTTTGATTCTCAGCACCCACATGGTGGCCAACAACTGTCTATAACTCCAGTTCCAGGGGCTCTGACTCCCTCTCTGACCTTCTTGGATATTGCATGACATGGGTACACTTATATACATGTAGGCAGTAGACTCATAAAGATAAAATAAAAACAATAAAATATCTTTAAAAAGAAAATAAAATTTAAATTTTCTTAGTCTGTGTCATGAAATTCCCCATGTGGGCATGAGTCTATTTCAGAGTGCAAATGATCAAACGAGACCACTTTAGGAATCAGGTTGAGGTTTATTCGAGTCTGTTGTAGGCCAGTTGCCATGGTAACAGAAGCAGCATTTCAGTTAGTTGCTGGCCTCTGATTAGACTTTGAAGTGGTCTCCAGTCATCCATGGCCCTTATATCAAGTGCTGGGCCTTCCAACCACATCATGCCCCTCTCCACAGAAAGAAGACATTCCATATCTGAAGACAGGGAAATCATATAAATTCTTTAGAAGTTGTATGTATCTTTAAAATGCTTTATTACCTGTTTATTTATTTTTTGTATATATGTATATGAGTGGACGCACACACAGGTGTGCGCTTGTGGAAGTCAGAGGACAACCAGCAAGAGTTGATTCTTTCCTTCCACCATGTGGGGTCCAGGGATTGAGTTCATGTCATCAGGCTTGGTGGCAGGTGCTTTACCTGTTGAACCATTTGCCTGCCCCAGAAGCTGTGCAATGCCGACAAGCACAGCCAACGCCATCTGTCTTCATGTTTGCAGCTCCCATGTGACAAGCACTTGTAGGAGGTCTGCCATGGAGCCTCTAATATCAGAGTTTAGAGGACCAAGCCCCTGTAAGTCTAGCTGTCAGAGGAGTCTGTTGGGCATCTCTGCACAATGTCCCTTCTGTTGCATCTTCTCCCCATTAACCTCAAATAATGAAAACACACACGTCACAGAGTCCTAGGAAAGGTTGGTAGCACACACAGTATCTATCATTTTATAGTGATTCATTCTGAATTGATGAGAATCAGGCCTCTAGTGCCTTCCCTGAGCCCAGGCCCATTTTGAAGATTATTGGTTCATCTTATAGCACAACCATTGCCTTCAGGGACTGAAAATATCCTTAAAACCCCAGCCACGTAATCTCTTTTTGTGTGTGTGAGACAGGATCTCACTATAGAGCTCTGGCTAACCTGAAACTTTCTTTATATACTAGGCTGGCCTTGAACTCATAGAGATCCACCTGCTTCTGCCTCTTGAGTGCTCAAGCTTGTATCACCACACCTGGCCCTCTTAGTTAATTTCTACAAGAGAGTCACTTGCTTCCCTTAGATCCCCTTTCCATGATCACTGAACTCCGTGACATGCTTCTAATGTGACCTCCTTCTGAAGTTTCACTCTGGATGTTCTTGTGTTTTGAAATGTTTACTGTCAACCCAATAAGGTCTAATTACAATTAGAGTTACTTATGTAGAGATAAATATCAAAAGAGAAGATACAGATGGCTACATAATATAAGCAAGATTGTTAACATTTAGTAATAAAATAGCAGTTAAATCAATAAGATGACCCTTTTTGTCTTACCAGATTTGCAGTAATGAATACTCATAATATTTAGGGTCGATGAAGGAGCAGAAAATGTGTACTTTAATATGTCACCAGTGGGACTCTGGGTTGGTGGAAGTTTCCTGGAAAGCAATATAGTCATATATACTTAATCAAAGTCCCTCGATCCACTTATTTCTTACATGGCAAATGTAAATTACATGATTAAAGATAGAGATTTGCTCAGATATGGTAATCTACCCAGATATGACAATTTAACATTATAATGTAGTCTCATGTGATGAAATGTTTGTGAAAAAAGCACTTTACATAGTGTCCTTTCATCCATAATTCAACACTAGCAGTTTATGCTCTTTCCCACTGTGTCCATCAACATACTTTACCTCAAAGAATGTTTTATAACTCAAGTCTACTGTTTAATGTCAATTGTAAAACACATAGCATAAAAGTGCATGGACATTATTGACTGTATTTTATTAAAATTAACCAAGCAACAAACCAAAACAGCAGAACAAAGATGAATATAGCTGAATCTTGTTTTCTGTTTTTAGTCCTTAACGGACAAAAGCATACTATTCATATCTAGGAAAATAGTACATGACACTTGAAAAATAATGACTGATACTTGATTATACAAATATTTTGAATTCTTGAAAAATAATCACTCATTTTCACTTTTTTCAGTAGAAAATATTTAGGAACTATTACCTTGAACTCTATGTATCATGTTATTAAACTGTTTCTATGGAATAAATCAATGCCAGGCGAGTTTCTAAGATTCTAATTTGTGGAGATTCTTTTTTTTTGTCAGTTTTCTAAACTTGGGATCTTTTTCTCAATTCAGTTTCAGAAACAACTTTTTACTTTTTCAGTAGCTGCACAGATTTATTTAGTCATCACAGTCTTTTTCATGTTAGGCTCTCACAAGATAGTTTGAAAAGCTGGAGTCTCTGCTGACTTAATTTGGAAACAAGCTTCTGGCCACTGGCTGTTGTCAGTTTGTAGTAATGTAATTACTGTACTATATTAATGTGTATTAATATGGTCTGTGGATCTGTAGGTTGCCAGAGAATGTCTCTTTCAACGAGAGAAGAGAATGGGAATCGACCTCGTTCATGATGAAGTTGAAACCGAATTACTGACGGTAAGTGTGGGGTAAAATGCTTCAATAATGAGAAGCTTTTTTAAAATGCAGAAATAAGAGTGATGCTATTGAGTGACGTTATTCACAGCCACTTATAAGTAAATTTATAGCACTTAAAAAGATATATTATTCATTTTCTTGGTTCTATAAGCAATGTATGTTAAGTGAGAATTTTAAAATTATAGAAAATAAGGAAGATAGTTTGTAGTCTAATTGAACAGTAATCAGTGTCAGTTTGGGAATACTTCAGTCATTCTGTTAAACATGCTTAGCCAGACACCACCCAACATGCACAATGATGACCATGATACACAAACATGCCTCCACAATTAGAATTCATCTGTATTTGTGAATTTGAAAACTCCTTCATTCATTTAAATTACTAGGGTGATTTTTCCTTATCATTGCATATTCCTGTAAGACACAACTTTTAATATCTCGTTCCATGATGCTTTACTGTGTGAAAATGCTGTCATTTTGTAGTAAAAGTCACCCCTTATTGAGTAGTTAGGATGCTTCGTTATCCCACATACACCTAGAATGTGCTTAGTCTCCAAGGAAGGCTCAAGCTCGGTGTCAGATTGTGATGGTAAAATCAGTCCCTGTGGCTCGGGGCCACTACAGCAGCAAGACTATCACTACTGGTAACTGAACATTGTTCTCATAATTTTCTGTGCGTTATTTTCAGGGATGCTAACTGGACTACAAAGGGTATAAGCATTGGGGAGTTTCAGTACACTGCCAAACTGCCGCCCTACCGAGCACCCTTGCTACTGTGCCGAGTCGCCCAGTCGCTCCTGCCTTTTTCACCTGTTAAATTTGATTTTGCTTTTCATTCTCCCCCATTCTGGACTTCCCACAATAAAATCTCTGCATTCTTTAGATTTCTGCCATCATGTGCTTGGGGCTAGACCCAATTTCCTTCTTTGGCTAAGACATTGTATTAAACATTAGCTCTACCACCATGAGTGCTTAGCCAAAATCGATTAATGCACATTAATTATTTGTATTAATAAGGTGATATTTCTGCATATGGATAGAGTATGCACAGGTCAAACCCAGCTTCTCTTTGTCCTCCCTCACCTCCCAACCTGTCTCACCCGGTCACCACCTCTTTCTAACACTAAAATGGTGAAGGTTGAAGATATTGTCTCCTTGACCTCCTGCCACCAGTTTTCAGCTCTTTCTCTGAAAGCCGATGCATGTGAAATTCCCAGGCACTTTCCCTGCCCCGTATTTTACTTTGCTCTATAATAAGCATTGCCACTAGTTTCTTCCTTCCGCTGAAAACTGTCTCCTAACTCACTACTTCCTACAGGAGACAGATCACTGGACCCTTCTGTTGTCTGACTCCAGATAATTTCTCAGGCTTGTTTCCTTCACGAAATCACAGAATTTCTGTTGTGATGAACCCATCTTCTGTGTCCCTGCAGGAAAAAAAAAAAAATGAGTCCTTGGAGAGAAAGTTGAATTAGGTAGATCACTGGAGTAATGTTATCCTGACAGGCCCTCAGTACTTCCTTTAACATTGGCCTGGATTTTTTTTGAATAACCATTACAAATGGTAAAGCGATACATTTTTTAAAGTTACTCTTTCATTTCCTTTCCTTTCATTTCATTTAGAGACACATGAATTTCAATAACATACTCAGGAAAGCTTTGGCCACTGCAGAGAGGCTGTGTAGTCTACTCTCTGAAAGTCACAGCCCCTTCTGTTGACAGTTGTCGCCCGAGTGATTAGGAATTGGACATCCTGAATAAAGTCATGTTGCCTGGGAGCCCCTGCTTTGCTTTTCTTCTTCCCTGATCTTTGATGATCAGTTCTTAAAACAATCTGTCATCTCTGTGAGTGGGTAGGAATTTAGCAACATCTGTCTCTCAGCCCATTTGCTTTCACTGATCTGAGACGTCCAGTTGGTAGCAAATGATAGGCCCCATTTAGTAGCTTAATTTTTTCAGTTTATCAGCAAATACACCATGGTATTTTTAAGAGAATTTTTGAAACTTGGATCCTTTCAGTGTTTCTACTATTCAAGGGGGCAGGGCTCTCAACCTGTCTATACATTAGAATTACCTGGTGAAGTTTTTTGGTTTTGTTTTTGTTTTTAATTCAGTGTTTGGGTCTCATTCCCAGAGTCTGATTCAAATGTGGAGTGGACATTGATTTTTAAAAATATTTCCCGAGCCGGGTGTGGTGGCACATGCCTTTAATCCCAGCACTTGGGAGGCAGAGGCAGGCAGATCTCTGTGAGTTCAAGGCCAGCCTAGTCTACATAGTGAGTTCCAGGACAGCTGGGGCTACAGGGAGACCCTGTCTCAAAAAGACACACATACAAAAATTTTCCCAGGTACTTTTAATGACTACACGTTATTAAGAACAAGTGCTTCAAAAATTCGAAAGAGGGCTGGGGAGATGACTCATTGGGTGCAAGGACTTCTTCACAAATGTGAAGACCCATTTTGGGATACCTGTGCTAACCTAAAAGCCAAGCATGGCCACGTGTGCCTATAATCCCAGTGTGGGTGGGTGGTGGATATAGACAGGAGGATTGCAGGTGCTTGTTGGCTGCCAGCCTAGCTCCAGGTTCAGTAAGAGACTCTGTACCAAAGGAATAAAGTAGAGAGTGATGGAGCAGGGCACCCAATGTTCTTCTTTGGCCTATGTACATGAGTACATGGCATGTGTACCCACCCACACATATACACACATGTGCACACATATATATGTACTACACACACAAAGATCTCAGCTGATGTCATGGTGAAAATTGATTAAATGTATCCTAAAATTCATGTGGAAGTCCAAGTGGATTCATAATAGCTAAAATGATATTGAAAAAGAAGAAATTAGAGGACTCACATCTCCCCAATACAAAAGTAGCTGCAAAGCTATAATGCATAAGATAGTGTAGCACAGACAGATCAGTGGAACAGAACTTGAGTGTTAAGGAATAAACACTCACAGTTACCATCAACAGATCTTTGACAAGGGTGCCAAAGACAATTCAATGAAACAGAAAAAAGTTCTCTTCAATAAATGGTACTTGGACAATTGGCTATCCATGCGCAAAAGAAAAGAGTCACTGCGGCACATAAAAGCATTATGCAAAACTAGATCAAAGACCTCGGTGTAAAAGTTGAAATGATAAAGCTCTTAGGAAAAATAATTTCATAAATAATGGTGGCCCTGGATTAGGTGACAGGTTTTTAGATAGACTACTAAAGGCACAAACAAAAGACAAATAAGCAGCATCGTCAAAACTGACAAGTTGCTACTTCAAAGAAGATTATTATAATCAAAAATCTTCACAGATCATGTATGAGATAAGGACTTGTATCTGGCCTATATAGTGATTAAAATCTTTCAGAAAAGACAATCTAATTTTTAAAAGTGGACAAAGGTATCTGAGTAGTCGTTTTCTAGGAAGATAAGCCAAAAGCCAATAAAAAAACGATGGTACATCATTAAAACCAAGCAAATTTAAAATCACTCTCCTACCCACTAGGATGGGGATAACAACAATACAGAAAGCAATCAGCAAGACTGTGAAGGAATTAGAACCATTGTGTACTGCTGGTGGGAATGGAAAATGATGCAGCTGCTTTGGAAAATGATTAGCACAGAGTTACTGTATAATCTGCTAATTCCACTCCTAGGTATCTACCCAAGGAGAAAAGAAAACAGACCCTGGAAAAAAGCTTGCATGTGAACATTTATAACACCATTCATCAGAACAGCCCCAAAGCGAAAACAATCAAAACATGTCTGCTAGCTGTTGATGGATAAATAAAACGTAGCAGTGTCAACAGAATGCTGCTCACCCATAAGAAAGAGTGCCGCTGACACAGATGGATAGTCAAAGATTCAGGCTGGCCACAAAAGACCACATACTGTGTTATTCACTTACATGAAACTCCTACAATAGAGAATTCTGTAGAGACTGAAGTAAATTTAATGTGTGCTTAGCAGGAGGCTTGAAGGGCTGAAGGTCAGCAGTGGCAGTTAGGAGGTACTTGCATTTTTAGTGCAGGCAATGAAAATGTCCTGAATTTGGTTTTGGTGATGGCGGACTGGACTAACTGTATACCTTAAACAGGTGAATTATGTTGTATGTGATATACTCAGCAAAGCTATCCTTCAGAAATAAGAAACACTGAATCAGAACTTTATATTTTCTAGGAAAGTTAGCAGAGCTTGTTTTCTTCCTAAAAGTTAAATCTGCAACTAGAGTAATAGCCCATGGATTAAGAGAGTTGCTGTGGTCACTTTCAATTAATTCAAGTAGCAAATGTGGTCCGTTAACTATCCAATGGAGTGATATCATCATGCATGTTTACTGTGATTCTGTTGACTATTATATATAAGCAGTGATCTAGGCAGAGCACCATCAGCCCCCAAATGCAAAAGTGGAAATGCTTCAAAATCAAAACTTTTTGAGTATCAACATGAGACCACAAGTAGGAAATTCCACACCTGACCTCATGTGATGGTTTGCAGCCAAAACACAGGCACAATACATAGTTGTTCAAAATTACCTTGAGGCTGTGTGTGTAAGGTGTTTTGAGACATAAATGAATTCTGTGTTTAGACTTGTGTTCCATTTCCCAGGACATTTCATTGTTATTATGCAAATATTCCACATTCTGAAAATATCTGAAATGTTTCTGAAGCGTTTTAGATAAGGCGCTCTCACACAGTGTTCAGCTGATTCTTACCGAACAGCTTCCCTTGAGGAACGTGGTGATGCTATCTTCCCAGGACTCTAAGACCAGGTGATTTCTTTGGACTCTGAAGCCAGTGAACCTCCAGACTCAGCACACCCAGCCAGCTCTGGCTATGCTCTGGGACTCAAGCTGCGCCTGCTGATCGGAGCTTAAGCTGAGGCTCTGGGACTGGCTCCAGACCACCAGCTTCTTTCCCTTCTTGGTGTGACAGATGCAGAAAATAAAAGCACTTCGGGATGCAGAGGTTTATCAGTAATGTGAAATTTGGGGACTGG